CCCATGTGCACTGTGCATGCAGACCAGCGAGCACCGGCTCGCCTAGGACCCTGGGGAGTGGAAAGGACCGAGTGATGAGCCTGAGGGGCCGGACCCGGCCCAGCCTCGTGGTCTGGCCGGTGCTCACGGCAGATTGCTAGGATACACAGTGCCACCCTGGGCACCACCTCGGGCCTCTGGCAGCCGGCTGAGTTGGGAGGGTCTTGGTGCCGGCTGGGCCATGCTTCCTCCCGTCTCTTTGCGGGGCCTCGGCTGTTTAGAAGGCACCGCCTCGGCAGGTGTGCGGGGGAGCCTTGCACGGGCGCCTAGGACCCTGGGGAGTGGAAAGGACCGAGTGATGAGCCTGAGGGGCCGGACCCGGCCCAGCCTCGTGGTCTGGCCGGTGCTCACGGCAGATTGCTAGGATACACAGTGCCACCCTGGGCACCACCTCGGGCCTCTGGCAGCCGGCTGAGTTGGGAGGGTCTTGGTGCCGGCTGGGCCATGCTTCCTCCCGTCTCTTTGCGGGGCCTCGGCTGTTTAGAAGGCACCGCCTCGGCAGGTGTGCGGGGCAGCCCTGCAGGGGCCTGCCCTGCTGTCCGGTTGGGCCTGTCCCTCCCACACCGCGGGCCTGAGCGTCCGCGTCCCCGGGCCGGCATGAGGGCTGCAAGGGGAACGGGAGTGGGTGCCCTCCGTGCTCCTTGTCACGTGGACAAACACCAGGGGGTGTTTTTCACTCTCGTCCATGTCTTTTCCCTCGGGGCCTGTCACACTGTTTTGTACACAGCAGGTGCTGCATGTGTATGTCTTGGCTTGCAATGAATAAAAGTTGAGGATCTACACCCAGGACTTGTGGCCATTCTGGCGGTTTCCTCTCCAGCCCCACCTCTGTGGATTGGCCCTGTGAGACCTGCCACCGGGTTGTCCTTGGGGACAGGGCTGGGTGCCCAGCCTGGGGAGGAAGCTCTCTGAGGCATCTCGGACACTGTGGAGGGACCTGGGCCACAGGAGCGGCTGGGAATGCTGGGAAAGATGCCCAGGAGCCCTGATCCTGAGAGGGGATCCCCAAGGGTGAGTGCTGGAGGCGACTGGAACCTTCTAGAGTCCCCACTAACTCAGAGAGACAAGAAGAAGTTATTTCCAATAGCCAAGATCTGGAAGCAGTGCTAGTGCCCATCAGTAGATGAGTGGATAAACAAGCTGTGGTACATTTACACCATGGGCTACCATGCAGCAGTAAAAAAGAAGGAGCTCTTACCCTTTGAGACAGCATGGAGGGGCCTGGTCTAAGAATATAATAAGTTTATCCATATGGTGTAGCCAGTTTTGTGAGAATAAGAACTGGAGAAGACCTAATGAAAAAATAAACTGATGAACAAAAAAAAAAAATCCAGAGACATTGACGCATGCAACAGGCTGACATATTTCAGAGGGAAGGGGGGGGGGAGGGGGGGGCAGGAAGAGATTAACAAAGACCTTGTATGCGTATATGCATAGCCCATGGGCACAGGCAATAATATGGTGAAGGCCTGGGGAGGGGACAGGGGCGAGATGGAGGGGGTCAATGGAGGAGAGGAAGGGGGACATCTGTAATACTTTCAACAATAAAGATAAATTTAAAAAAAGAACAAGTGGTCCTAGCCCTTGGCTCAGTGTGGATAGAACGTTGGCCTGTGGACTCAAGGATCCTGGTTCAATTCCCGGTCAGGGTACATGTCCAGGTTGCGGGCTCGATTAGAGGGCGTGCAGGAGGCAGCCAATCAATGATTCTCTCTCATCGTTGATGTTTCTATCTCTCTCTCCCTCTCCCTTCCTCTCTGAAATCAATAAAAATATATTTTTTAGAAAAAGGAATAAGTGATAAAATGTTCATATCAGAAATGTGGTCACACTTCTTAATTTCTAAGGGGCAGTTAGTTTTACAGGTGAGATGAAAAGTCCAAGAGAGAGCTGGCCTTCACAAGACCGCGGCACTGGCCCGATGGCCGCGGGATGGTGATGGCGGCAGCAGCGGGGCCCGGGCTGCTCGGTTGCACTTGGCTGCTGTCCACATTCGCTCAGCAGTGCTTCTCACCAGGTGCGAGTAAGAAGAAGCTTTTGGTTTGAGCCTCCTGCCAGTAGCTAACTGGACCGTACAATACGTACGCATCCACCAGCTGAGCTTTGCTGGGCTCTACAATGTGCTCTGATGGGGCCAGGGTCCCAACAGA